TACCTGAAAATAACATGGTATCTTCACGGTTAAAAGGATTTTCTCGATCATACAATGGAACCCTAAAACTAGAACCCGCAGGCAGGGGATGGTTTCGTTGACAATTTGATGGCGGCAAAACAATGGGCAAGACATGGTCACACCCTGTTGACTGTTGCGAAGTGGTTTCACTGCTTTGTTCATAATAAAACGTAATGAAGGTAATGTTTGCTAGTTTTTTACCGACTGCCGAAAAGGAGGTTATTAATTCAATAACGTTTCTCAGAATTAAATAATTTAAAATGTTGTGGTTGTTATTTCTCAAGGTTTCTGATGGCAAGTTAAGCCGTCGGCTCCGGTTGCTGTCTATGATTATAGATTACTTAGAAGCGGTCGTGGCGTCATGGTTTCGGTACACAACCATGTCAGAGCCCTGCTACCAGGATCATAGAGATACGTTAGACGAATCGGTGTCCCACACAAAAAGAAGAAGAAGCAGTAGTGAGCATTGTATTTCTTTTTCCTCGTATATATCGAATACTCAGTACTAAAGACTAGACATTTTTTTTTTTACTGAATTAAGTATTTTTTACTAAGATAGAGCAAACTTAGCAATACACAAACAGTGGTAATTTATAAAAACAGACAGTGGCAATACAATTTCACAAAATCGATTTTGTAGCTTTAAAGATATAGGGTGTAATTCTACTTCTTGACAATGTTTCGAGTAGGACTCAAATACGCCTAATGATTAGTATCTCAACTGTGAAGGCGGTTAATTTTTTTCCTAATGTCAATTTTTTATTATGGTCGATGCACATGCCGAGGATGCGTTGGCAAATTGCTGGTCATGTACCATACACCACTGTGGTTTATTGGTTGAGCATAAAAATAATGGTATGTTTTTGATTGTCAATAAAATAAAAGTGCGTACAGTTAGTCAGCGGCCAAAATTATGTTAACGCTATGACATACCTAAGGTTAATTTTTCTTTGTTGCCATAACTGTTTGACGGTTGTCAAATGTGGCATATTCAAACGGCCGTACTTACTAGCTGGTGCCCGCGAATTTCGACTCGCCAAGGGACGCATAGTTTATGTAACCAACAGAAGCGACTTACTTCTCGATTTTGGTAAATGTTCAACCAGCTTCAAACTGAACAACTTTTCCCAAGGTCCAAAAGTATTTAAAAAATTGGACCACTCGTAAAAAACAATTGAGTGGTCCAATTTTTTAAATACTTAGGTACCTACTCTATCAACTGTTTTTTATGAGTGGTCCAATTTTTTAAATACTTTTGGACCTTGGGAAAAGTTGTTCAGTTTGAAGCTGGTTAATACACAAAATTATTCCAAATGGTTTACAATTGTTATCATATTAACAACCACGGACGATGTTTCCAGTTTTCATTATTGACCAGCAATAAGTCAATTTGTTGACAAATCCGAAGAAAGCGTGCATCAATAAATGTATGCGAGAAAGGTGCGTCTGTCTGACTGAATAAAAACCACTCATACATGAACAAAAAAACTATTGCATGTTCGTAATGTAGGTATACTTTGAATATCTTTGGCGATAATAGTTTTCTAATGTAATAAATATGAATAAAAACTCTTGCTTATTAACTTTTTCTTTCTCGTGTAAGAGCTGGCTGTTGCCATAAAAATAGAAGAAAAAACAATGTCATAATTTTCTTTTTAAACGCAAATGGCTTTTCAAACATTTTTTCGAGCCCTTGTACCTAGCCAGTAAGAATGGGTTTATTTTATAGAAATCTTTTTGTAGCTTCTCATGAAGAAACTGGCCGTTGCCAGAAAAAAATAAGAAAATTTTAAACGTCACTATTTTTTTTCAATGTGCAAATGGCTTGTTTATTTCATGTTTTGCCAGCATTGAATATGTTTTAAGAAATTTTTTACACGATATTTTTTTTGTTCGTTTCTTTTCCTACGGGTGAGGCAATAGCGTACAGCCAATACAGCCTTTTCTAAAACCAATGTTATCGAAGTACGGGCTTTCAGTACAAACTAAAAATAATGTTCGTGCCATTAAACCGCTACGAGCCATTTGCTCTCCTTCTCCCATCCAAAGGTCAGCTGAAGGCAGCCATACTTTCTACCAACTTCGTGAAGTATTGAGCATCGTAAAGAAGAGGGTTTCCGTACCTGTATGTTGCAAGGGTGATCTTGAAATTGCCGAGTGAACTCGGATGTAGGAAAAGTGCGACTTTCTTTTAAAATAATGGCTTTTGCAGGCGAGCCATTCAGCCAGTGTCATTATTTAGCAACTCCAGCAAAGCCAAGATTTAAAAATTATGAAACGACTGGTGCATGAAAGAAATTCACAGGTACTTACACAAGCGTACCTACTTAAATTACCTACTTAAAAGTAAGTCTTATTTATAAAAAAAGGCTGGTAGCGACTGGATGCCAAAAACGGAAGATCGTGCCTATGGCTTTCCCTGGGGACTGGGGACCTACGTCCAGCAGTGGACTGCAATAGGCTGATATAGATATAGAAGTCTCATATTTATTTATACGTTTATTATGATGTAACTGGACGTAATCTCTAAGGTCCATGCCCGTGTGACATACTTTGAATTTTAATCGGGTTTAGGTTTTTTTGTATTGACCTGTACTTACATCCGTGGTACCCAAATATATACAGAGGACTCTGTTGGGGCTACGAAATGCTCGTGTTTTTTTTTTACTAAATAAAAGCAAGTTTACCTTTTTTTCTACCTCCATGGCGCATTTTATCGGCAGGCGTCTGAAATATCGGCGCGCCAATCGTAAATCTGCGGCGCACAGGATAAATAATTTAAAACTAATAAAACAAGCGCGTCTCGACTAGGGATGTGACTTGACTTGCTTGCCAGAAATCGATTTATTTCTAAGGAAAACAAGGCTGGAAATTCATCGGCCATTTTGTATGGGGGATCCAATTAAGTATTTTGTTCGTATTTCGACCCATATTCCATGGGGAAAGCTGTTCAGTTTCATGAGTGGCTATCATTTTAAAATGGCGGCTTTTAAACGGAAAATATAACTTTGGAATCACCGCTGTCGGAATAGAAAATAAAAAATAGAAAAATGTCATACATCGACCGGGAATCGAACCCGGGCCGCATGGGGCGTTTACCCATGCGGCCCGGGTTCGATTCCCGGTCGATGTATGACATTTTTTCTTTTTCTTATTTTCTCTTGTGAGAATAATATAGCACTGTGAGTGCATTAAAATCCCAATACACCGCTGTCGGGTTTTTGTGCGGTTTGAGCAGTATTATTTTCTAGCATTGGTAGATTTCTTAAATGGTGTGTCATTCGTAATATTATTTTTATAGATATCTTTTGTCTTTTTGTCGGTTTTATCGATTCTTTTAACATCGATATTATTTTTTTCTCGTCTCTATTCATGAGTTTAACACAACAGGTAGAGGGTAGTTTTATATCAGCGTATGCAGCTCACGGGGCCCGGTGATGGCTTGCATCAGGAGTTCTGTGGTTTATTAGATCGTGTTATTTTCTGAGTGTGATTGCTAGATTAGAAATCTACCTGGAGCTGGTGTGTCATTTTCTTCATACTCATTGCAAGACTAGTGGCCCGTTAGCGTTTAAACCCGCTGCAACTCATTTTCCCGTGGAAAAAAGGCATTTTACCGGTATACGTTATACATACAAACGTTCCTCTTGAGTCTCTTCACGCCAGGGTTGGTGAGAGCAGTTTGAGATTTTACCTTCCACATCGCTGTCCACAAGTGGACCAGTGCTTCTAAAATAAGTGCCTGTTGCACCGTACCCAAGTAATTCAAATTGCTTATCTTACCAAAGAATGTGGGTATTACGTAAATGCGATTCTATTGTTCGAAATGTTTCGTAGATGACAACAAATAGCATACACTCCTGTCTACAAGTACTTACGCAGTAGTAAGTGTAAAGGCACCCCGCACGCTGTCTCCCTAATTAGTGGAATCTAAGTAAGTTTGTTCTTCTGTCAAGTGGAACATCGAATTTATGAACGGCCTCACAGAAAACATAAATAAACTTTCTTCTTTTCATATAACTTTTCTGGCACTCGCGATTACTTTCACACTTAAGTAATAGTTATCGCGATAGTTTCACTTTTTCAATCAGCCATGAGTGCTAAATCGCACCTTTAAAGATTGTTGCTTGATCCGTCTGGTTCTGATGCAGTGTAGCTTTCTTAGATGTGACAGATTGATCGATAGAGCCTAATAAATAGGTGAACCAAACGTTACGTAGGTAACATTAGTGACTCTTTCCTAACGTTCAACAAACAAATCTTATTTGTGGATTATATGATTCCCTGCAAAACGTTATTTGTAAGTTTTTCCTTTTTTGAAATTTCCCGTTTTGGTTTTGAGTGCCGCGTGCCATACTTAGAATGATACAATCTGTTGCTGATTTTTGTTTCTGGAAAACTTGTCCCGTTTCATTTCCTTTTAATTTTTCACCTCTTTTTTTAGAAACCTTGTATAATTTTCCGCCGCTGGCAGGATTTGAACCTGCGACCTTCGGCATCTGTACTGCCGACGCCACTACCAACTGGGCTACAGCGGTTCTATGTATATCTTGGCCACTAACGCATTTTCACACATTACTTGGGTACTTACTTTACTAGCTGAACCTAATCACACCTGAGTGATAAAATCTCTGTTTGACGGTAGACAGTGATCGATGGTGGTTCTGATACGGGAGTACCGTACTACTCGACTCTTCGATTCCATGATGGCAGGGAAAAGCTATTGGCAATTTTCTGTACATGTTCGTAGGTATACTTACATTTACTTATTTAATACTTTACAAAGTTGACGACATTAATCAATAATTTTTTATGTTCTATGGGCGTAAAGCTCATTTGAAAACATATTAACAGACATAGGTACATACATAAATCAAGCCTTTATCCCATGCCGGGTAGGCAAAGCATCAACGGCCGTCAACAAATTGGGATTTTAATGCAGTCTAATCCAAATAAAAATAAGAAATTTGTAAAATGTCCTGCAAGACCGGGGCTCGAACCCGGGCCGCAATGGGTCAACGCACCACCACTCTGCCACAGAGCTATCAATGCATTGATGTTCTTTATTTTCATTTGTGGTGGATACTGACCAGCGCGATTTCCAAGTCAACAGCTGGCAGGACATCGTGCAGAATTGTGTGTAGTGGCGAGAGCTCGTTTCGGAGGCCAAGGTCCATTTCGGGTTGCTGAAATCTCTTTTTATTCTGTATCCAAAAACCTTTAAAAGTTTTTCTAATATAAAACTACAGTTTCCACTCTGTTCTCATAGTTCTCCATACAATGGTCTTAGTATTGAGGTTCGAATGCATCAAAGAGAGCAATCCCATCTTGACACGGATCGGCAATATGCGCTGAGTATGTGACTGTACGAATGCTGAGAAAAATGTACCGTACACGTAAATATGCCGCAGATGTAAAGACAGAGATGTATGACTAGAAGAGGCTCTATGTGTAGTAATGTGTACCATATCTCCGTTGAGTTTGAGGAAAGTTAGATATTTCATGACAGGGCACGGCAAGGTGCGACATGTGTAACTTAATTAATTTTCCGGAGTGAGAAGTACCTACTTGTGGGTAAGAAATAAAAGATGAGACTTCCAAAAGATTACTGGATGTTTTATTTCACTGAGATAGTTCACCTACACAGTTATGCAATAAGATCCATTTAGTTAAGAAATAGGTTATACATTATATTAGAAAGGTTATAAATTATATAATCCAAAAGATGACTGGAATAAAAAAAAATCAAATAAGACTTCGCGAAGAAAGCTAAGTAGACGGTAACATCCGCCATTTGCATTCCAATTACCTGGAGGTGATGAGCGTCCTTTCTTCGCGCCTGCCCGATGGAAAAAGGAATTAAAATCCGACTTACTAATGCATTTCAAAAAGGAACGGCAACCTTCCAAAAATTCTACCAACTCCTACGAAATACCGTCACTATGACACTTCGATACAGAAATCTCAACTTCACAAAATTATAATGAAACTTGGACCAAACGATCACCGCTTACTAGCACAATGAGAACTAACAATTTCCCAACCAAACAATTCCCCTTGCACTACTATTTTCCTTGAAAAACCAAAAACTGTATTACGAAATTCGTCGGAAAAATTAAATCTTTAACTTATCGATCTAACTCGGTTGTTCTTGGCAACACGAATGACCCACCCGGCCATCTACAGGATCCAGACGGTACTCGTACGTAAGGCATCGTCACGTCGAGCGTCGAAACATAATCGAGCGCCTTGACGACCTCACACGGACGCCTTGCTTCAATGTGCGGCCAAGGGATGGCGCTGAGAAGAATTCTTTATTTTGATAGAATCTATATTCTATCATCTATAAATTTTACGGTTTTTTTATAAGGTAAAAATAACGCGTTACACATGGTAATTTTATTTCAATTGTAAGTCGAGAAACACACGCAACGTCCTTTTGGTCGTCATTATTATAATTTGATTCTCCACTCTACCTTCATACGAACACAGTTTATGTCAATCGGCATCGCAAAAAGCTGCGTCGACGGAGGCGTCCGTCAAACCGTTTGACATAAACCGTATTCGTATGATATACGAAACAGTTAAGTGGAAAATCGAACAAACGACGCACAGACGGACGTTACCGTGTGTTTCTCGCCTAACTTGATTCTTCGAATCAGGTATTTTACATTTTTTCGGTCGGAAAATATTCTTCTTTTCAAAATCAGCCCAGAATATTTATTTGGTGGAATATCCATCTTTACTTTACGAGTACGATACGAGATACCTAATTACTTTACGAGTATCTAAAAAGTAGCCGTGTGGTGCCGGCAGAGTAGAATAGCACCACCCCTTCTCTTCCCGTGGGGGTCGTAAGAGCCGACCGAGGGATTCATTCCGACCCAAGTGGATCAGGGTCCTGGAGAAGGAAAACTCCACACTTAAACCCGGAATGGGGTCTCCGTCAGGTGCGATTAAGTCATATATATCGTGCGGCAGACTCCTGCAGCCGACCTGGCTCCGCACGTATCGACTCGTCGTTCCTGTGGAGTCAGCCAGGAAGGCCGAGAGGGTGGCGCAGGTCCTGGGCAGCCCTGCGTTTTCCATAATTGCGTCCCAGGCAACGCAGTGTCTGTGGAGAGGAAACTTCACCCGCGTCTCGCGGATAACAACACGGGAAGTGGCAGTGACCGGTTATAAGTCTGCACGTATGGGCGTAAGTGCGGGCGCCAGGGGTCGCTTCCGTCAGTGGGAGGGTCCATCGTAGACCCACTGATCAGTTACCGCCCGCTCCAAGTTGGGCAGCCCCCGACCAATAAGGTACTGATCCGCCCCGGTGCTGGTTTGCTCTTTTAGGGTGTAGAGAGCACCAGCCTCAACTGGACAATCGGCGCCGTTACATTGTACACCTGCAACTAACAGGCATAAAAACATCACAAACCAACCCCGCTTATCCATGCGATTTGCAACATGGAATGTCCGTACTATGAGGACAGGCCTCCTGACACCTGTGGAGGTTCTTCTACTGACGCACAAGATCTGCGTAAAACTGCCGTAATCGACGCCGAACTACACAGACTGAACATTGCTGTTTGCGCTTTACAAGAGACCAGACTCCCTGACGAGGGTTCCTTGCGTGAGACACATTATACATTCTACTGGAAAGGAAAGGACAGTAGCGCTGTGCGCGAGTATGGTGTTGGCTTTGCCATACGCAACGACCTCTTAACATCTATAGAGGCTCCTTGCGGCATCTCGGAACGCATTATGTTGCTGCGATTAAATACGGACCATGGTTACGTATCACTGATTTCTGCTTACGCACCAACACTATCCTCAACAGATGAAGCCAAAACACAGTTTTATGACCAGCTCGACCAGACTCTACGCGGGTTAAAACCATCTGACCGCTTATATATTCTGGGCGACTTTAACGCTAGGGTCGGACAGGACAACATTGCTTGGCCAGATTGTATAGGTAACCACGGTATAGGGAAGCTTAATGAAAACGGCCAACGTTTATTAGAGCTTTGCTCTAAACACCTACTGTGTGTTACCAATACCTACTTTAAAGACAAATCAACTCGCAAAGTGTCCTGGAAACATCCTCGTTCTGGACACTGGCATCAACTGGACCTTATCCTTACCAAAAAGAAAAATCTCCGCGAGACCCTGCACACGCGATCATTTCACAGCGCTGATTGTGACACAGATCACTCCCTGGTGGCATCACAAGTTGCTATAGCTCACAAAAAGATCCACTCATCCAAATTGCCTGGTAGGAAGAAGCTCGATCTTCCAAAAACCAGAGACGATGAGGTGGTCCAAAAGTATGAAGAGCTGGTACGCGACGAAGTTGCCACCTGGGATGTAGACGCTCCGATAGAGGAGGAATGGGGCAAAGTAAAGAAGCTACTTACAGAAGTAGCCGGTACGGCTTTCGGTCATCAGAAAGCCAAAAACCAGGACTGGTTCGCTGAAAATCTCGAACACATTACACCTCTGCTCGAGTCCAAACGACAAGCTGCGCTAAAACATCGCTTTAACCCATCCGAAAAGACGCATATCGACCTATCGAATGCAAAATCAGCTTTACAACGTACATCACGGTACTTCGCAAATGCATACTGGACCGAGCTTTGTCAAAGCATTCAATCATGCGCTGATATGGGAAACTTTGGTGGTGTTTACGCTGGGATTAAAAAGGCACTTGGTCCTTTTCCTAAAAAAACAGCCCCCCTTAAAGAAGCGGACGGCACTGTTATTACAGATGCTCAACGCCAACTCGAACGATGGGTAGAACATTATGTTGGTCTCTACTCAGAACCAGTGAACATAATGCCAGAAGCTGCAGATTGCATGCCAAAACTAGCTACCTGGACTGAGTTAGATGATCTTCCTACCATAAGGGAGTACCACAAGGCTGTAAAGCAGCTTAAAATTGGAAAATCACCTGGAAACGATGGCACCCACGCCGAAATTATCAGGCTCAAGTGCATATTACCCATCCTGCACAATCTGTTGTGTAAATGTTGGGAAGCGGGATATATACCACAGGATATGCGCGATGCTAACATCATTACCCTATACAAAGGCAAAGGTGACCGCGGTGACTGTAACTGTTATCGTGGAATATCCCTTTTAAGTATAGTAGGTAAATTATTTGCTCGGTTAGTCTTAATAAGACTCCAGAAACTTGCTGATCGTGTATATCCCGAATCGCAATGTGGATTCCGCGCCCAACGTTCCACAACAGATATGATCTTTACACTTCGCCAACTGCAGGAAAAGTGTAGAGAGCAAAAAACACCTCTGTTTGTGGCATTCGTCGACCTTAACAAAGCCTTCGACACCGTGAGCAGGGAAGGACTCTATACTGCACTTTTAAACATCGGGTGCCCTCCAAAACTTCTAAGCCTCATTAAATCCTTCCACGAGGACATGAAAGGATCTGTTGTTTTTAACGGCAATACATCAGAGCCGTTCGAAATGCGTAGAGGTGTTCGCCAAGGCTGCGTGTTGGCTCCTACCCTGTTTGGTATTTTCTTCTCATTGCTTTTTAAAGTTGCTTTCGGCGATGACCAACAGGGTATACACCTGCACACTAGGGCTGACGGGAAGCTGTACAATATCTCGCTTCTTAAGTCAAAGCGTAACCGCGATGACTTATTCGTCGATAGCCTTTTGTTCGCTGACGATGCAGCCTTCGTTGCTAATTCTCAAAGTGAGCTTCAAGACATTGTTGATAAGTTTTCCCACGCGTGTTCTCTGTTCTCAATGTCCATTAATGCCAAAAACAGTAGTGCTAGCTCAAGGTGGAGAAACACCACGTATTTTGCTCGGTGGCGTTCCCTTGAACATAGTTGACAAGTTTTGCTACTTGGGGTCGACTGTGTCGAACAATCTCACCCTCGATGCTGAGATCAATACTCGTATCGGCAAAGCGGCGACCATGTTCGGCAGGCTCAGTACAAGAGTATGGAATAATAAACACCTGACCACAAAAACCAAGATAATTGTTTACCAAACTTGCGTTCTAAGCATACTCTTGTATGGAGCTGAAACCTGGAC